TACATGATATCAGTCTGTTGGCCTATTATTGGTCATTAATCATTTAATCAAGCTGATGTCCACTGGATTTCTCCACTTTTCACAATACCGTTTTTCCTTGGTAATTATTCTGTAGAGTTATACTTGACACTGACTATTCTTTTTCTCTAGCAATCTTTACCCAGTGGTTTTAACATCCACTGATGATTCTTGCCCAACTGATTTGGTACTTTTTAAGATTTTCCTTTTATCCTTAATGTTTACAATCTCTTGGTATGGACTTATTTTTATTTACTGTGCTTATAGTTGGAGTATAATTTTTTCTGAGAACTTCTATCTTTCTCAACTTTTGGAAAACTCTCAGATGCCATCTCTTCAAAAATTACTTCACCTTTCCTTCTATTAGATTCTAGAAGTAAATCTGAATCTCAAATTATTCTCCATGTTAAAACTGCTCTGCAGTATATTTTTATCTGAGAGTCGAGATACCTTCTATGTGACTTGATTAGTACTGTCTTTCAATTCACTGATTCTTTTTGACCAAGTTCAGCCCAGAGTCCCATCTATTATTGCTTTTTATTTCAACAACTATTTTTCTTAAGATTCCAAACAGTTCACTTTTTATATCCATCCATTTAAAATTATTTCTACTCATTTTTATTTTGTAATTTCACCTTCTGTTGCTTATGGATAAATGTCTTTGTCCATTTTATTAAGCATCCTAGCATTCTGAAAAGCCAAAAAAAAAAAAAAAGCTTTTGCCAGATTGCTTTATAAAACTAGTTTAATCAGAAGTGAATTCATGATCCAATTGTTGATTTTTAAAATATTATATTTCTTCATATGTTAAGCTTTTTTTTCTTCTGTTCTTTTATATTTTAGCTGTGCTCACTTCTACCTCTCTTTTTGAGTAGTTTCCAGCAGGCCTTCTGGGCTTCAGGCAGCATTTAGTTAATTTTTTATCACCTACCCCATCCTCTAATCTCCTGATAGGAACAGAGGAATTCCACCATAGCTATTCGGTTTTAAGAAATAAGCCTGATTCTTACACTTTTAGTCCCTGTTTTTCTTTTACCCTGGAGGGACTTACCTCTGGGTTGATGTTGCTGCTCCCTGATCTAGGGCTCTGCAAAACCAGTTTTAGTCCCTACATTCACTTTACATTTTTGTTCCTTTTCTGGTACATTGAAATAGTTATCTTGTTAAGCCTGGTTATATCTTTTTATAATTATTTCTTTTTATAATCTATTATTAGGAATACTTTAGATCATAAGACATGCAAATGGAAACACAGAGTCCTCATCACACCATATTTTGAATTATATTACCGAATCGGCTGTAGTTGATTAGAGTTCCTTCTACCAAGCTTTCTTTCTCTCATGTCATAATGGGTCAAAAGCACCAATAATTTCTCACATGCATAGTGATTGGGCCACTCCATTTTTTCAAGAGTAAATCTCTGTAAACATAATAAAAACAAAACAACAAGATTTTGTTATCTCTTGGAGACAAATAGAACTCTTAGGTGATACTACTTTTTCCTTTAGAATTAATACTAGTAAAGCAGAATCAATTAGAATATTCTGAGAAAGAATGATAAGCCTCTAAGGAGGAAGTACTATATAATGATTAAATGTGAGAGTTCTCAGTTTGAATGCCAGTTTGGTATTTCCTGGATGTTGGGTAATTTAGTTAACCTCTCTGAGCCTCAGTTTTTCTATCTGTAAAGTAGAAATAATACAACCCAGCTCACAGATTACGGAGATTAAATGAGATTACATACAAAGTGTTAAACATAACAGTAAATTTTAAGTATGCAATAAATGTTGGCTGTCATTATTAACACGGTTTTTGGTAGCCATAAGTTATAAGTAGCTACAATTTCTTGAGCCACTCTGTGCCCCTAGCCACTACATTAGAGGTTAACATAAATAATCTCATTTAATCCTCAAGGTGACTTCATGAGATAAGTAATATTATTTCTATTTTGTGGACAATACATATCCAGGGTCGCACAGTAAATGACTACTGTCCAAATTTAAATTTAAATCAATACTTTTATAAACTATATTGCCTTCTATAATAATATACTTCACCCTGATATTTTCTGTTTATTAGCCCCTCTTCCTTCAACATATCCCTGTATACAACATATCTGTATATGATAATTAAGGCTTCTTCTAAAGAATAGCATAATTGTAGTTTGTTGTATGGTCTGCAAAGTATGGACACTGTGTGGCAAAGGAGAGAGGATTAGAAATAAACACCGAAAAATATAGGGTCAGTCAATAGTTGTCTGTTTTAATTTTTGAACCTCCTCTCAGATCAATTAAAGTGAATATCTCTTCCTACCTTTCTAGTGTCTAACTTCATACTGTAAAGCAAGCATTTATTTTCAGATACCTGAAACAATAGTAAATCAGGTCTTTGGTACCTGATTGCCTTCACCAACTTATCCTTGTTCAAAAGGAATTCTTGAATAACCTAGCAAGAAAAAAGAAAATAGGAATTGAGACTTTAAGACTTCTTAGAAAGTTTCTAAAATAAACACGCAGTTGAATTACTGGTTATTACCTCATGGAATGGGAATCCCTCACAATTGCAAGCTTTCCTGAAAATAAATTATATATATGTTATTACTATAATCAGGCAATTTTGG